TTATGCTCCTTCTTTGGCCGCCGAAGAAAAAAGAGAGACTAAAACTCAATTTTTTTCTCCATCTAGAGATATATTTATGATCCGTAGTTTAACAGGGTCTCTCTACTGTGTTATCTTTTGATCGATTTTGTTTGAATTAATTTATAATGTTCAAAGTTTAAATCTAGAGTAGTATTATGAATATTATAAAACTAAAAAACTTCCCAACTCTAAGTAAACGACAATATGAGTATGCTCATATGTCATTTTTAGTTGTATAATTAAAATTTGATGTAGATAAGACTGATTGCTTAACATAATCACACTCGCAACTAAATAAACATATAATAAAATTTACATCATCAATAAAAACTAATACATTACATTCCGCGCGTAGCGCGGACCGGTCCTAGTATCAATATATTATAAGTTTAACGACTAAGATGGCCCCAAAAATAATAGAAGACAATTATATATATTTGCATTTAAATTCAAGTTATATGAGTCATTTTTGGCAAAAGATAAATTATTTAAAACTAGGCATGGGTATGCGCGAGGCTGTCGGATTTGGTTGATTCAGATTTGGATTTTTAATCGCGGTTCGGGATCAAATACAAATAAAACAAACTACAAAATATTTAAAATACTTCAAAACATTTAAATGATCTTAAGTTATATGAATGCATTAACATATTCAACTAATGAATATTTTCGGATTCTCGTTTGGACTTCGTTTTGGTTCGGGTTATAACCAAACCCTAAAATACCTTGGTTTGGAATTTTTGTACAACGGTTTTGATCAGATTTTGATCTTTTCGATTCAGATTAAGGTAGGCATTTCACTTTGGTAAAAACGCCTATACCTATTTAAAACTATTAATTTTTGTGTGTAGAAACTCAGTATGGGTTCTACTATGTTTTTATTACATCCTCTTGTTTTTTTGTAACACATCTTACATTCTCTTGTTTCCATGTTGTTTTACAATACTATTTTCACACAGTTCAATTCATTCAGTATCTTAATGAAAATAAATTCAGATCGAACTTTCATACAAGAGAAGAATAATTAATCTAGAAACCACAACGATAAAAGCAGAAGGGACAGATATGTGAAAGAATCAAAGGGAAAGGATTTGACATGATTAATACACGCGAAAGGAAAAACTGGAGCTCTGCCATAACATTTCTCTCCAAGTTATCTGCGTAACCCAAAAACAAAATAAAACATTAGTGATGAAATCATACAATATAATATTATCATATACAATTGCATGCACATCTATGTACTTTAATAATTGGGCTAAACACGTGTGAGATAATATATAATTTCTTAATGAAGATTAAAGTTTTAATTTAAAAAGAAAGAAAATAATTAGCGTACCCTTTAACTGGATTGAATTTCTCAGACGGAACAAGTGTAGCCCGGAGGTGGGTTTTTGCCACAGGTAAGAAGAAGCTGAAGAGCAACTGGGACGTACAACTTAAGGTTAAGAGCTTTAAGCTTGAGTGTAGTGCAGAGACAAGCTGCTGCCTCGACTTCGACGAGGCCTTTAAGTAGCGGACAGCATTTGTTAACGGCTGGGTCTCCAAGCCCTATCTTTACTAAACCTCCCAACAAGTCAACACATGCACCCAACTTCAGCGTGTCTATTGGACATGTTGCCTTCTTAGTGCCTGGAGGTTTCTTATGGCTACCCGGGGGTGGAGGGCAATCTTTTCCTCCTGCAGCAGGAGGCTTTGTGGGTACCCCTCCCACTGGAGGTATTGGTAGCCCTCCCACCGGAGGTATGGGTAGTCCTCCCACCGGAGGTATTGGTAGTCCTCCCACCGGAGGTATGGGTAGCCCTCCCACCGGAGGTATGGGTAGTCCTCCCACCGGAGGTATGGGTAGCCCTCCCACTGGAGGTAGTGGTAGCCCTCCCACTGGAGGTATGGGTAGCCCTCCCACCGGAGGAAGTGGTAGTTCTGGGACTGTCACGGGAGGTACGGGTAGTTTTGGTACGGCCACAGGAGGAACAGGTAGCTTGGGAACTGTCACTGGTGGAACTGGAAGCTTAGGGACAGTCACTGGAGGAACAGGTAGCTTGGGAACTGTCACCGGTGGAACCGGAAGCTTAGGGACAGTCACTGGAGGAACAGGTAGCTTAGGGACAGTTACAGGGGGTTTAATGGAGGGTTTTCCACCCTTCCTGGGGGGGTTGCAGGAGCCGCATGAGAAGGATTGTTGGGGAAAAAAGATAATGCAAATGAGAATAAAACAGAGAGAAAGAGATGAGAGTTTGGATGACTCCATGTTGAGAAGAGAGGATGGAGGAAAGATAAGAAAGGTTATATGAATATATAGGGCAAGATGGGAAAGAACGGATCACGTGAACATGGGGGCTACTTCTGCAATAAGAAGAGAAGCCCCAAAATAAGCATGGTTGGCAATTATCATAAGAATACAATTCCCTTGATGACACATCGCTATATATCATCACATGTCGCCTCTTTTTTTTTTTTCACGGCTAATTATATTGCGTTTGCTACATTTCTAACAAAAGCAAATCACTTTCACCACTGTACAATTTTACTTTTAACCTTAACAATCTTTTTTTTCCAGTTCAATATTTCTTGTATTCCAAAATAAATTATCTTTACAAAACAATTTGACTTCAAATAACAACCAAATTAAATAAAGATCAATGTTAGACAACTTACAATAATTCTTTTAAAGAAACTTATAGGTATCTCTGTAAAACAAAATAATCAACAAGCTCAAGAACACCTTGACTTATTGAACTATCCTCACACGTCCGTAGATCCAATACAAGACCGAACCTTTCCTATTATCCCTTTGTGTTTTCACTCACATTATAATCTATGAAACCCACTAATGAAAGAAGAAAATTTTGAGTGCTCAACCTAATACACGGCTTAAGACTCTCCTACTTAAACTCAGAAGAAGTCGACTAGTACTGCCCCGCTGAGATATTTCCAAATATCTCAAAATATAATATTTCCTAAACTTCTATTAACTACTTGGGAAATCTTTTTAATGAGTTTTCCTTCGTCAAAGGTAAATCTTCGGCTTCTTAGTGTTTGAGTAAACTCAATATCAGCTCCAACCCCCGTTTCTAAGCTAAATTTTTTATCATTCCATTTTGCTAACTCATTGTAAAAGATCTTATTGTACTTCAAATTGGTTTAATGTGTTTGTAAGATCTTTGTATCTTCAAAGTGGAAAGTGGAATATGTTAACACTCAGGTTAGAATATATATATACAAAACTACGTAAACTCAAAACAAGCATAAAACCATAAAACAATGATAACTGTGTTAAATTTGGCGTTTGTAATATCGGTGACTTTGCAGTGTCTGCCTAATTCACAAAAGCTATTGTTAAGCTAGATTAACTTACAACCTAAAGCCAATCGGTGATAAGTAAAATTGCTCATCTATATTATATAGTATTAATGATCATTTCCAACTATCGATGTGGAATACTTTGTGTCTAATACGCCTTCTCGAGATGATGGTCTTTGAGCGTCAATTTCGGAATATTTGGCAAGGATCGATGGGCCATCTTTAGACCACATCGATGAGTATCGGGTTAGACTTTGTGGATTAAAGGCTCTGATACCATGTTAAGCTAGATGAGCATCCAACCTAAAACCAATTGGTGATAAGTGGATTAGTCCATCTATCTTATATACGCTACTAAAGATCCCTTCCAACTATCGATGTGGGATACTTTGTGTCTAATACCATGTTAAGGTAGATGGACTTCCGACCTAAAACTAATTGGTGATAATTGGAGTGATTCATCTATTTTATATACTTTTAAAGATCTCTTCCAACTACCGATGTGAGATACTTTGTGTCTAATAGTTAAACATGTAAATAATAATTAACAACTAGGCTTTCTTTTGTCAACTAACAAATATGCTTCAGTCAAGTAAAGTTTTTGTTTTAACATATAATTAGATGATTTCCATGTGCACATGCAGGGACATAAATATTTATATAGTACATACAATATAATAATTTATTAATATTTTATATGCATTTTTTTTGTTGATTAATATGTATGATTTATTTGAAATAAAAATAAAACAGTTGAATGTTTTTATATATAATATCTTGTATGTTTGGTTATTATTTAGATATATTGGATAACATCTATTTTCTGATTTAACCTTAAAATTTTGTTCTACATATTAAGATTTTGATTAATTCTGTTGTTTACATTTAGTTTGATTCTTGTGTTAGATTTGTAAACATATTTTAGTAAGATTATGTATAATTTAATAAGTATTTTTATAGTAAAAATTAATGAAAGTGTTGATCAATTCAAAGTTTTATAAATGAATGCAACAGCGATAGTCTTCTGAAACCTCATGCGTATATATAAAACTTAATTGTAATAGTTGGTTAATATTCATGTAGTATTATTTGAGAAATGTATATTTATTTGTTAATATATTGAATCATTCCATAATTTGTGTGTATACACTATAAATAATAATTTATCATTATTTTAGATAAATTTTTGAATTTGGATGTAGAAATTTGGATTGGTCGAGATACTCATTTGATAGATGTATTATGTAACATATATATTTTCAAACTAAAGTTCAACTATTTTAAAAATAATTCAGCCAAATGGAATGAATTGTTATTTTATTTAATAAAAATTAAATAACAATTATTATAAATAATAACTAATGGTTATTTTAGTTAAATATATTTGTCAAATTAAAGTAAAACTATTTATATAATAATAATTTATTATTATTTTAGTAACACTTTTGATTTTGGATATAAGAATTTGGTTGGTCCAGTTATTCATTTGATGGGTATGTTATGTTACATATATTTCTTCAAATTAAAGTACAACTATTTTAAGCTAATTCAGCAAAATTGAATTAATTGTATTAGTTTGTTTCTTTGTCTTAGATGTGTAAGTATATTTTAATTTTTAATAATTTGCTATATGTTGATTTGTAAAAATAAATTAGAAAAATAAAAGTGTTAATCAAATTTGCATAAAAAATTCAAAAAGTAAGATTATTCGTTTACTTTAATATCAAAATTATTTTTAAAAGCTTCATTTTTCATGAAATCGCATTATATATAAAAAAATTGCTTGGGGGGGGGGAGAGGGGGCTGAATTAAGGATTTGAGAAAGTTGAGGATTTGGTAAATCCAAGAAAATTTGAGATTTGAGTAAAGGAAAATTGTCAAATATGACTCAAAACTTGATTTGAAATTCAAAGGTAAACCCAAACTTGAATCAAATGCAAAAATAACTTAAAAGGCTATTGAAGTTACAACCAACCCCTTGTGAACAAACAAAAAATGGTATTTTTTTACGTTATTAGCCCTCGAAAGTCGTCTGCCCAGACGACTTTCAAATATGTCGTCCAGACGACTTAACTGAAAGTCGTCTGGGATAGTTTTTCTTAAAAATAATTTAAAAATTTTGTAATAAATATTTTGATAAATAAAAAATTGGGATTATGTAATTAACATATAACAAAATTAAGATATAACAAAATTCAGTTGTTTTCAGCATAGATGAGTGAAAGTAGTGAGTCATGATATTCTTTAGTTTATGTTTCACCAACATATGTTGTAGTATTGTATGTGTTCTTAGGGTTAGATTTTGGAAAGCATTAAGAATGTTTTTTGAAAAATTTAAAATCTACCTAAGTGTGTTCATTTCTGTGTATAGTAAACACTATTTAAGTATAATTAATTTGATTTTATAACGTGGTTAGTTAGTTAATTTAGTCAATTTAGTTTACGGGTTCAATTTAGGGTCTAGGACGACTTTAATTTAAGTCGTCTGTATTCATTATCCGGCAGACGACTTACTAGTAAGTCGTCCAAACCGGACCAAACCTTTAATTTTACCAATGTACTTTTTAACTTAGCCGGTTTATTTACTCGATATATAAGGTGTTTTTTTTTGTTCATTTTTCGTGAAATTCAGAATTTCTAAAGCCGTTTCTCTCAAAGGCGATATCCGACTATTTCCGAACAAACCATCGTCTCACCGCTGGTTATCTATCTCATCATCGTTCTCACCATTCTAACCATCGTTCTCACCCCCGTGATCACCAACGCTCTCACCGCCGCTTCCTTTAAACCCTAGCGCCGTTTCTCTGTAAACCCTAACTCCAGTAAGTCATATCGCTTACTGTCGAGGGATTGATTGAGGAAAATATGAACATAAACGTTGTCTCTAACCATTTTTATACTCGTTCTCACCGAGCTTCTTTTTCACGTTTATTTTTTCAGAACTATAACCGCTATGTCGACGGCGACTACTTCTTCTCCGTCTAATCAGGTCTGCTTTAAAATGTTATACTGGAAGACTTATAATTTAGTCGTCTGGAAAGTCTTCCAACTGGACGACTTAATTATAAGTCTTTCAGCTGGATGACTTAAATATAAGTCGTCTATTAAGTCGTCCAGCTGGAAGACTTTCCTGACGACTTAATTATAAGTCGTCTACTAAGTCGTCCATGATTTAGCTTGTGTTCTGACTTCTAGGTGAGTTTATGTTAATGAAAGTTGAAAGCTTTGTTAGATTCAGCTTGTTTTGCTTATCTCAGTTGTTGTCTTTGATTATTTTGCAGACAAAAAAAAGATGGATCTTCCAGAACTTCCCCGTAGGTTATATACATCAGGGGAAGAGCCAGAAGCCCATAATAGCATTTCGTATCATTCGGATTATACCAAGTTTCAAAATGATCTTAAGGATGCTCTTACGGATAAGAAATATGCAGAGCTGAAGGAGTCGAAGTTGGGTGTTTTCATCAAGTTCAAAGAGATGGGATTTGGTTGGGCTTCAAGGCTGGTTCACTACATTCTCAGTTACCAGCTGGACATAAAGAAGAAGTATGAGCTGTGGTGTCTCGTTGGTCCAGAACATGTGAGGTTTTCACTGTTAGAGTTTGAAAACCTCACTGGTCTTAACTGCGAGTACATCGAGTACCTTGTGAAACCAAAATGTGAAGTTACAAAAGAGTTGGTTTCTTTCTGGGGGATGCTGGGAGTTCATATCGAAGCTGGGCCAATGACTGATCAGATAATAGTAGCATTGAATATATGCAAGGAGTGGTCTCCGGAAGATCGTAAGCGATTCACGTATCTTTCCATCTTCAATGGATTTATCGAAGGGACAAAGTATTCAACCCCTACACGAGCTAGTCTGGCAAGGCTAGTGATGGATTTAGAACGGTTTGAGAATTATCCATGGGGGAGAGTCGCGTTTAAGGTGCTGATGGACTCTTTAAGGAACAAAGATATTACTGGTTGTTACATTGTGGATGGGTTTATACAAGTTCTTCAGGTCTGGGTGTACACAGCTCTGCCGAAATTGGGTGCTACTTATGGTGGTCCCAGACCAAACAGTCCGTC